TGTAACTCATCAGCTTAAGAAAACCTGCAGTATTAATAAATATTTGGATTGAATTCCCTTTTGTTTTTCCAATGCTATAATTGGACCATGAGTTAATGAACGTGCAATACGTTATAGAAGAAAGGCCAGCTGGACTTGGAGTTGGATGCTGAGGTCTCATTTCTGGCTTTGTAAATATTTGTTTGCATGTTGTCTCCCCCGTTAGATTGTAAGCTCCTTGAGGACACCACTGCCTTTTGCCTCTTTTTGTATCCCTAGTACTTAGCCCAGTGCCTGTCACATAATAGGTGCTTAACAAAAGTTTGTTGATTGATTAATTGATTGATCTCTCTAAGTGTGTTTGTTTTACAGAATGGAAGCTTTGGTATGAAAATGAAATTAATAGGGCCAGCAGACTCAGCACACCAGCAGCTTGTTCTATCCCAGGGCTCCAAGTTGCCCTCTTTCAGGAGAAAGAGCTCCCAGAGAGGCCTAGTCTTACTCAGGAGCTAGCTCTTCTTAGCCAGGATTGCTGCCTGCCTCTCTCTGTCTCTCTGTCTCTGTCTCTCTCTGTGTCACTCTGTCTGTCTCTGTCTGTCTGTCTGTCTCTCTCCCTCTCTCTCTCTCTCTCTCTCTCTCTCTCTCTCTCTCTCTCTCTCTCTCTCTCTCTCTCTCTCTCTCCAGATGAGAGCTCCAGCTTGCCCAGAAACTAGGAATAGTGAAGAGGCCAGGGAACATTGCTTCTCTCCCTATCAAAGAGTCAATATCTGGAAATGGAAGAATCTCAGAGGTAATTGAGTCCAAGCAAAAATCCTCCCCTATTGCTTTCTCTGCATCCCTAAACCCTGCTATTTTTTCTGCTATTCAGGAGACCTAGGAGCTATCTAGTCCAGGTACTACCATTAAATCACTATTTGACATTGGACAGAGTTGTAAATAGAAGGGGGCAGTTGGGGTCTTGTCCTAGGGCAGTGAAATTCAGAGGGTATTAACAGTACTTATATTCCTTCAATAGCACAGCAACAACTGAGCTTAACACCTGATAACAACATTTAGTTCAAATAGAAAGCTACCCTATGGCACTTCTCATCTTCAGAGGTAGCACCCCAAGTAAGCCTCACCCTGATCTCTCCTAGAAGCAGCCTCTGTGTGCTATTTCTGTCGGGGGGGGGGGCAGTGCTCTATTGTTTCTGTCTCTATCACCCTGAACTAAATCTGTCTTTAAAAACTAATTTAAAGACATTTTTATAGTACTTCCAAGACCAGTGTCTTTTTCTCCTCCTCCAAAAATAATTGCTAGTTACTATTAATTTTGGGCAAGTCACATTCTAAGCCTCAATTTTTTTATTAATGTAAGAAATGAGATCGTCTTTATAGTCTTTGCATAGTTGTTCTATGTTCTCAAGGCACTCCCAGCTCGGGCGTCCTATGATTGTCAGCAGCGATGTCCCCAATCCCAGAGTAAACTCCAAGCTATATCATGAAGGACTTCCACAGAAATTTTGCCCTTGAAGAATAGAGGCAATGAGGTTGCTCTATATTGGATAACCACTGCCGTCCCACTATAGTGAGGCTGCGTTGGTTTATAGGGACCAGCTCATGGAGCATTCTGGTCAACTAGAGTCAGGGAGCCTTGGAGCCTATATTCTGGCTCAGGGCCACATGATGATGAGCAATGTCCCTATTGGCTGTGGGTCCAGAAGAAATGAGGACCCAGTGGGTGACTAGCCCCCCCAGCCTCTCTTGTATTTCTGGTGCAAATAATGTCAAGACTGTTCCAAGCTGCTTCCTGAAATTAGAAGGTAAAAAAAAGGGTAGCTCACCCTCACTCCCACCCCGGCCTCCAAATGGCCATGAGCACACAGCATCTAAAGTACTTTTCCTAGCTGGGCAAGTCCAGGCTGCATTTATTCTTTTCCTGATCAGAAGTAAATGGATACCTTTCCTCTAGTGGACATGTACAGGCTTCGAGGTGACCCTAGTAAATGAAAGGTCTAGAGTTTTCATCGTTTTGGAGCTAAAAGGCTTCGAGGGGTGAGTCAGCGCTCTTGGAGAGGACTGGCCCAGACTGGCCAAGAATGTATTACTAGCGCATAAATACCAGGAGTTATTTGGACAGCACAGAAACAAGATAAAATGTAAAAATCCAGTTAGTAGCCCTGCAAACTGCTTTCTGTTTCAATTAGGTTTGAGTATCAACCTCCTAACAAATTATAATTGTACTCATAAGTCAAGTTACTAAATCCTATTTAAGTCATTCTGTAAAATGTGCACTGTCATTTATGTTTAGTAGTTCTTTTGTGTGTAGAAATAAATTGCCTGCCCCATAATTAATATTATAGATTAAGTGCCTTTTTAGTCTTCCATTTGGGAGAAACCCTAGGCATGAACAAAGCTATAGCAAAAATTGTCCCCAGGGCAAGGGGTAAAGGGATAAGGAGCAAGAATGTGGGAAAAGGAAGTCGTTTCCCTTCATTGTAGGCTGCATCCCCAGAAATAAAGTCGGTCCAAACTGTGCCCCGTAGACTTCGGAACAGGGAGTGGCTTGATACCTCCGCCCTTGTAGACTTATCATTATTCCCCCAGGTTAAACCACGAGCAAGAGCTATTTGTGCTGTGATTCAGCTGAGCTGGCCCTGTGTCCTTGGTCCCCGGGGCATGAAGAATATCATAAAGCATCTCCAAAATGCTTTTCTATTAGTGAAAATCATTTCATCACCTTCCAGAGATTGCCTTTGAAGTGTATGTCCCACAGAAATAAAAGAAAGAGCTCACTGAAGTTCCCTTCCCTTCTCAATGTTACCCTCCCCCACCATCAAAGAAGACCTCGTTTTTTGCTCTTCACAGGTAGAGACGAGAAACGAGAATCAAGTGCCTTAGACCTTGACGCCTCCTCCCACCTATCATTCCACCTGAACAGAATCCCTCTTGCCATAGTTTTTGTTTATCTTTGCAGAGATGAAGGTAAATGGGACAGCTGGAGGGGGGAAAAACCTCTTCTTGTAGTTTTCATCCCTTCCTGCTGGGTGACAGCTCTCAGAATTCAAGAAAGCTGATTCAGGTGGAAGAGTGAAAAATCATAATAATATATATAATGCATAACATTGATATACATAATCTAAGTAGATTCAAAGTAATAAATGGAAATAACACATTTAAAGCAGTCAGCACCTATGCCATCCCCATCTTAATATACATTTATGGAACTACAAAATGGACCATAACAAATTCAGAAAATATCCTAACAAAAAGCTATAAAATATTAATGAAATCCAAGGTCCTAAGGCAGTTATACAAAAATTAGCCCTTCTTGCCCAAAAGGAGGATTGATTGGCATTCAGATAAATAACCTACAGAAATCCTTTGAGGACAAGCAGAGCACCAGTGGAGGCACCAGAGGGGCACCAGATGACGGCCTCACATGATGGAATTTGTTAACTGTAACTGAAGGTAGTTCACCTGCTGTTGGAGCCTATGAAATGGCCAAGATTTGGAAATGCAATCAAAAGACCTTTTATGGATGACAATCACATGAATTAAATCAGCAATATGTTGGCAAAAAACCATTGAACAAATGATTAAGCCCAAGCAGGAAACAGAGAGGGTTTAGATGGCGATTCATAGCCAGATCATCATGACCAGGGACCATGTTTTGGCCTTTCTTTGTTTCCCCAACGCTTAGCACAGCACACAGCAGATGCTACATAAATACTTATCAGCTGACTAGTCACTAAAATTATTCATCAGAAGGTCATTCTCTCATGGATGGAAGCAGATGTATCCTTGCATTATAAATACAGAGACCTAAATATCTTTGAAAAGTCAACAGACTTTTCAGGGACCAGAACAGTAGCAGAGAAAACAACTGCCTAGATGTGACTTTGATGCAGAGCATTTGAACAGCAACATTTTAACGGATGTCACCATGCCAAATTCTCATCATCTCCAAAGCTTCATAGAATGAAAAGCTTTCATATCTTGGAGACTTAGGAGAATCTGCAGAGCCATGTATGAACAGACTGAAGTGCAGACAGGATCCCCCGTCATCCTGCCTCTTACTGGGATTGTCCCAAAGACAATTTTACTGAATTCATGCAAGACAGCTTACATCACAATCCTTTTTATTCTATTACCAAAAATAGACAGTCATTTTGTATATCTGAGGAGCAGGCCACCAAACTTGTATTTATGAGCTATGTGACCCTGAGTCATTTGACCTCTCTAGGTCTCAGTTTCCTTCTCGGTAAAATGGAAATAATTGTAGCACCTATAAGTTATTGTGAGGACCAAATGAGCTAATATCTGTAACACACTTTGCAAGCCTTAAAGCCCTCAAAGAATGCTAGCAAATATCATTATCAAGAGTCAGTAAGATAAAATGGATAGAGAGCCACCCTTTGAAGCAAGAAGACCAAGTTGAAATCCTGACTATGATGCCTACAGGCTGTGTGACTCTGGTAAGTCACCTATCTTCTCTGTGCTCTGGGCAACTCTCTTAAGATGGCAAATTGCAGCAAAGGTGATGCCTCCCCTGAGGAAGAGAGTTTCTGCACCAGGGAGTTCTCAATGCCAGCAAAGTAATAGGTTTACTCCCTATCTTTTTATTATCATTAGTGATTATTACTAATTATTATTATTCTAAAGGAGCAATAATAGGATAAGAACTTGTCCTGGAACCATTTCTATCTGAACTCCATCAAATACAAGAGGAGAAGAATGAGAACAAAGATCATAACAGTTACAATAATAATAAGTGACATATATGAAATGCTTCAGTTTTCAGAGGGCTTTATAGACTGTAAGGGAGGTACAGTGGGGATTATTAGCCCATTGTGCAGAGGAGAGAACTGAGGTTCTGGTGTTGAGTTGCTCGGTCACAGTCACATAGCTAGCACGTGAAATCTGTGACCTTGGATTTGTAGGGTTCGTAGGGCGCAAAGCTGGAAGCAGCCTCAGCAGCCACAGAGCTCAATCCTTTCACTTTAGAGATGAGTAACTTGAAGATTCAAGAGGGGACTTACCCAAGGTCACTCAGGGAAACCATAGCTGAGGTTTGTTTCTGCTTCCACATCTCCCTCTTCTTCTCTGGGGGTGGGGTGGGCAGGGGCTGCCTCTTCTCTCCAGGTGCCTCTGAGTGTCTGAGTCTAATGCACATAGAAGGTTTCAGGACCCTGTCAGAACAATGAGACAGGTGGGGAAACAAAGCTGGGGGTTTCAAAGCCTCCTTGGGAGAGCCTGGAAACACCAAGTAAAGAGACCAAGGGGAGTTTGACAGAGAAGCTGCCTCCAGATAGTATTCTGACATTCTCTTTTAATAATATTCAAAGTGCTCTAATTAAAGTCTTTGTTCTTTATTCTGGGTACTAGCAATTACAAAGATGAATAATTGCATAATAAATATCAATTTGAGTCATGGTAATTAGACCCCAAAGCATCCTGCTGTTAAAATGTGATTTTAGTTCTTTCCATTGAAGGGGGGGGCGGGTGGGGAGTGGGGGAAAGGGGGAGGGGAAGTCTGAAGATGCAGCCGGGGGCGGTGGTGCCAGCCCCGGACCTGGAGTCGGAAGAAACCTGGGTTTGAATCTTATCTCAATACTTACTAGCTACGTGTCCCTGGGGTGGGGATAGGGGAGTCATATCCTCTTTCTGATGTCATATAGTAGATAGAGATTTAATCTGGGAGTCAGGAAGAAGTGGGTCCAGCTGCCAAATCTGGAACGTCCCGGCTATGGGTGGCCGTGACTGGGTTCCTTAGCCTCTAACCTTCAGCCAGCTTTCTGAGGTTGTAAGTTGCAAAGCACCTTGTGATCTGTATCAGAGGAGCTTGCTCATTTGAAGCCACACGCACGCACACGCACGCACACGCACACGCACACACACGCACGCGCACACACACGCACGCACACACACACACGCACACACACACACGCACACACGCACGCACGCACGCACACACGTACAAATAATACGTCCACTCCTTGCCTTATGGAATTGTCAGAGGAAAGGTATTCTATAACACTTTGCTCCATCAAAACGTGAGGGTTCTGTATCATTCTGTATAATTACAGAGGGGATATCTAGGCCCAGTAGATAGAAGTCACAGAAAGGTAGATTTCACCTCCATATAAAGGAAAAACCTTGCGACCATGCAAAAATGGAATGGGCTGCCACTAGAGATCTTCAGATAGAGACCGGGTCATCATGGCTGGAGATATTGTAGAGGGCATTCCTGTCCAGGTATGGGATGGGCCAGGTGGCTTCTTAGAGCCTAGGAGGAGGAGGGAGATGCTCAAGCTGTGACCAGACAGGGATGTCTTAGGACAGAGAGCAGGCTGCAGTAGAGGGACTTCATGGCCCCTTCCAACTCAGACACTCTGTGCTTCTTCCAACTTTTGATACTTTGACCTGGGGCAGCAGAAAGACTTCCAGCTATCTTAGGGCTGACCCGTGCTTGGAAGATCACTGGCTTTAGGAGCCAGGAATGAAAGGACTCTTTGCCAGGTTTCCTCTGGAATCAGTAAAATGTGGCAAGGCAGAAAACAGAACAGTCACTCAAAGGTTGAACCACTTCCTTCAGTTCTGAACTCAAAATAGATTTAAGTCTGAGTTAGAAGACAGATGGACAGGACATTTGGTAAATGGTTTGTAATAAGACTTCAGTCTACTACTTACTACTAACTGACTGACGTACTGATATCATTGGCCAAATAGTTATTAAGGACTCACTATGGGCAAGGCACTGTCCGAAGTGCTGAAGACAGGACTAGAGAACAAAGAAATAGTCCCTCCCCAAGAGGATCTTATTCTATCCAGGAAACTGCATGTACACATATAATATACAAAGTAAATCTAAGGCAGTTTCTTAGGAAGTGACAAGCTGTCTGGCAGAAGCTATAGTGGGTACAACTTAGAGCACTACAAAGATCTAGCTCACTTTATGACAAGTCAATTCACCCTCGTGAGGCTGTTTCCTCATCTGTTAAATGATGAGATGGGGCTAGATGATCCCTTCCAGTCCCAAAGTTCTATGTTATTTGTTCTCACAGAGCCTCAGAGACAAAGGAACCTCTGAGGGCATCAGGTCCTGCCCTTATCTGAATAGCAACCCCTCCCACCGCATCCCCACCCAGTGGTCACACTCTTGTTTGAGGAATTCTACTGAAAAAGCACCCACCATCTCACAATTCCATTTAGTCCACTTTTGGACAGCTCAGTACCTCTCAGTAGGGAGCCACCAACCACTACTATTTGTCTCCTGTTTTTTTTTTCTTTAAACATTAATGAATGACATCTTTCTGGGTACCACTCATGGATACATACCATTCATCACAGTACAAGAAACTGCTTCCCAATGCACCTTCCTCTTCTTAGGAGAGGTGGGAGGCTGTGGGTGTGGAACACTGCATATACTGTCAGACTCAGTTGCTGCATTAGTTTTACTGACCTTTTTCTCTCTTTAAAATTATTTGTTATGAAGGATAGCTCTCTGGGTGTGAGGAGGAGAAACATATTTAAAAACAAAGGTGATATAAAAACAAAAGATCTCAATAACTTTTTATTTTCAATATATTTTATTTTTCCTCAATTACATGTTAAAACAAATTTTAACTTTTTTTAAGTTTTGAGTTCCAAATTCTATCTCTCCCTCCCCTCTCCTCTCCTTGAGATGGTAAGCAATCAGATATAGGTTATACATATGCAATCATGTAAAACATTTCCATATTAGTCACTTGATATCAATATTTTTTGAATAGAGAAACCATGTCCTTAACAGACAGTTCAGCCCTAGCCTCTGTGAGAAGCCTCATTTCTCTTACTTAGCTCCCAATAACCAGTGGTCCTTCCTTTCTTTCCTTCTCTCTGTTATGTTCTTCCAATCCAATCCAACAAACATTAATGTGCACTTAATAAGTGAAAGACAATTAATTGCAAAGTGCTAGGTATACAAAGACAAAAGAAAAAAGCATGCCAATCCTCAAGAGGCTTCTATGCTACTTGAGAGATCTAATGTGTAAAGAGCTAGATACATGTGAGATAATTTGAGGAAGCGGGAGCTCTCTCAAGTAAGAGAATCAGGAAAAGGCTTCCCATAAGAAATAGAGTGCAAAATGAGAATTAAAGGAAGGAATGGATTCCAAAAAGTGGAGGTCATGAGAAGATATATTCCAGGCATAGGAGACAGCCTGGATAAAGGCACCAAAGTGGGAGGGGAGTTCTGGGTTAAGAGAATAGTAAGTTATCCAGGTCAGATGGTGTACACAACACATCAAGGGGAATAACCCCAAATTAAGCCTGCAGAGGCAGGCTGACAGGTGTCAAAAATACAACACTCAAGGAGTCCTGTTGTATCCTCAAGGCAACAGGTAGCTGCAGAAGGTTCATTTTTTTTTATCATTTTAAAAACTAAATATTTTAATAAAAACTTGCTATTAAGCATCAACATAAATACGCTTCCTTAACAACTATTTACATTGAAATTAATTCATTTTCTTTTTTTCTTATTTTTTATTTATCTATCTGTCTATCTATTTTTAGTTTACAACATTCACTTCTTTAAGATTTTTAGATCTAAATTTTTTCCCTCTCCTCTCCTCCCCACTCCGCAAGTCAGCATGCAATCTGATATAGGCTATACACATACACTCAAGATTCATTCATTTTCAAGCATAGAGCAGTATGACAGTTTCGCATTTCCTCCATTCCCACCCCTGAATCCAATCAGGACAATTTGACTATTTATCCTCCTCCCCTTCAACTCCTGTGATTCCAGTTAGTGTGTGTGCCCACTCTTCTGATTCTGCTTTTTTTTCCTTTTTTATGCTTTGCATCTTTTCACTTCCTTATGTCTCTGATGCTTGCCCATCCTAACTGTCTTGCATGCTCATACATTCATGCACCACAATTTATTTCCTATTTCCTCATCATCAGACATTTTGACTGCTTCCAGTTTTTTTTGTTGATGTTCTGGTTTTGTGGGGGGGGGGTTGGAATTACATATGGGGCTTCTATGAACATCTTTGACAAACATCTCTGGCTTTGATAACACTGTCAGGGAAGACTTCTAACAATGGAATTATCAGGGAAAGAGGTCAGGAACAGAGCTGGGAGGAGGATGAAAAGAAGAGCAACAAAGGAGACACCTTCCTCAAGGAAATAAAATGGGTAGTTTCAATTACGTGCAATCAAAAACAAAACTTCTGCATGAATGGGATCAGTGGAGGGAAAATAAGAAAGAAACCAGTTAATTGAGGTGGGGTGGGTGTGGAGAAAGTGAAGCATGCAATCAACTTCTCTGATAAAGATATGCCATCCAAGCTACATGGGGAGTGGATACAAATGTATGAGAACAAGAGTCATTCCCCCATAGTGAACAGGCAATTCTCAGAAGAAGATATGCAAGCTACCAACAATCATAGGAAAAATTGTTCCAAGCCATTAACAAGATGAATGCAAATTAAAACAACTCTGAGGTTCCACTTCGCACTCATCACATTGGCAACGATGATTAAAAAAGGAAAATGGCAATCACTGAAGGGGCTGTGGGAGGACAGTCATGCTAATTAATGCTCATTAGATGGAGATGTGAAGTGACCCAGACCTTCTGGAAAGCAATCTGGAATTTTACCCTCCAAAGTCACCATTTGCACATACATTCTGACCCAGCAATGCTACTTCTAGCATTTCACCTCCAAAGACATTAGAGACAGAGGGAAAGGACCTATATGTACAAAAATATTTATAACAGCTTTTGTAGTGTCAAAAAAAACCACCAACTAAGGGGCTGCCCATCAGCTGGGCAATGGTTGAACAAACTTTGGCCTAAGAATGTAAAAGAATATTGTGGTGCTGCAAGAAATTAGTAAAGGGACAGATTCAGATAAATCTGGGAAGATTTACAGGAACTGATGCAAAGTAAAGTGAGCAGACCCAGGAAAACAATTTATATATTGACTACATTTTACAGGAAAACAACTGCCAGTCATACTGGTGGGTACCTGTAACCCAGCTCCAGGGAGGTGGAGGCTGGTGAATCTCTTGAGCTCAAAAGTTCTGAACTGCAGTAGACTAAGTGTTTGAGGTGTCTGCACGAAGCCTGGGTACAGCATTTGCCTAAACAGAGCAAGTCAAAGCTTCCATGCCAATCAGTAATGGGATTGAATGCAGGAGTGGCCCTTTACGCCAGTGGGGTTAAACTCAGGTAGAACCAGGATCCACTAAGCCATATGTAAGGATCCCTGTGGGTCACATATCAGCTTTTAAAAAAAAACCCACACAGATTAATATCACCTATGTTCTATTATATTTTTATTTATTTATTTTAAAAATTTTCTCCATTATCTTTTAATGACTTAAATATATTTTAATATGTGGGCCACATATTGACTTTTAAAAAAACACAGGTTAATATCATCTATGTTCTATTATATTTTATTTGTTTGTTTGTTTGTTTTGTTTTTTAAAATTCCCCATTATATTTTAAGCTGATTGCAATAGACTCAAGAATATTGCAGACAACAGCCCTATGTTTGGCAACTCTGCCTTATACTTCCACCCTGGGTGACATGGGGAGAGCTACTCAAGGAAGAAAAAAAGGAAGGAAGGAAGGAAGGAAGGAAGAAAGAAAGAAAGAAAGAAAGAAAGAAAGAAAGAAAGAAAGAAAGAAAGAAAGAAAGAAAGAAAAGAAAGAAAAGAAAGAAAGAAGAAAGGAAGGAAGGAAGGAAGGAAGGAAGGAAGGAAGGAAGGAAGGAAGGAAGGAAGGAAGGAAGGAAGGAAGGAAGGAAGGAAGAAAGAAAGAAAGGAAGGAAGAAAGAAAGGAAGGAAGAAAGAAAGAAAGGAAGGAAGAAAAAGAAAAAGAAAGAAAGGAAGAA